GCATACAATATGCACGCATTTGTGACATGTCAAGTGGCCCTCATTGAGTATTCAGTCGTCCATAGATGACGCTAAGAGTTGTCAACCTCCCCCCCCCCCCCTTACCCACTTTCTCCACCCCCCAAANCCCAAAAATTTCGTGACACATTTGTAACTTAATAGAAATGTTTATCTCACATTGTCCCAGATTCATGGATCCCCCCCCCCCCCTTTTTACCAACACGCACACTTTTTTTTAGACACGTGACGTCATCTATGCTGGCCCAGTTGTAGATAACAATGCCCGTGTTACGTCATACGCTGGATTCGGAAATGTAGAGCCCCCCAAATTAAAGTATTATTTTTCCATGACCAAAGTTCTGGTTGCCGTTCTAAGACAATTTCTCTTTCAAACAAATCAATAAAGCCACGATGTCACGTCACAATCTAAAGTGATCTCAAGTGGCTTGTTGAACGCAAAAAAAAAAACAACAACCCAGCGAGCTTTGTGTATGGTGAACACAATGGTCCATAATTGGTGGATTAGAGTTTTTTCAAAATTAAAAGATATTATATATGATGGACTGCGATCAAGTTATGTAGAGTAAATAAAAGGGTGGAACAAGAAAAGTGTTAGGCTTGGAAAGACAAGACGACCAAATGTTTCTGGTTCTGGTAATATTTCGTTGCTGCATCCATGTACTGGCATCTCTGCAACGGTTGGGGATATGATGTTGCTATTCTAACAGCTCCTAGTTGAGGCCAGGGCAGCCTTGAAACTTTCGACCGATGTCGAGTTCACAGTGGCATCCTTCAGGTGGTCCCATGCTATTATTGTGCGTTGGAAGAAAGATTGTTGATACTGCACTGTGTTGCACTGAGGCACTGTGAAGCGTTTGCTATTGTTTCTGGTGTAATTTATTTCGGCTCGATGCCGTCTGTAGCAGACAAAACACAATACAATAACAACAGATACATTGTATATGAACAATACAAGTTCAAGCGTTCGAAGATCTCAATTACATTCAATATGGCTCAATGATCAGAACTCGAAGCGTTCTGCGTTATTGTTAGAAACGGAAGTTAAGTTGCTCAACGCCAAAGCGCGCGCTATATCACATAATTCTGTGGTGCTTACTATCATGGTACTGTAAGTTATAATAATGTATATATCATTAACGTACAATTTTAAAACAGCAAAAATTAAAATGGAAATGAGGGGAGATAAAGGATTACAGGAAAGTGAGGAGTACTTGATTGATTCCACATCGCGATATAGTAGTCACTCCACTACTCCATTCCCTTCATTGGCTACCTATACAGGCACGCATTGACTACAAGTTGTCTGTTCTCTGTTACAACTTTTTCTTGGTTTCCTGCCCTTCATATCTAACCGAACTTCATTCTGTCCATTCACCCCTTCGACAGCTTCGCTCCTCTGCAGACACGCGTATTCTGTCCGTTCCCAAGACACGCACTAAAACATATGGTGAACGATCTTTCTCTTTCTGCGCCCCCAAACAATGGAATTCTTTGCCACTACACAAACGCAATATACCAACCACCCAGGCCTTCAAAACTGCACTAAAAACATATATTTTTAAATTATACTTCCCTGACTGATTCCCCTCCTCTGACCGATAAATGATCTTGCTGGCTGCCGTCCATGGTTTGTCTTGCAAAAGTTATGTGGTGGGGTGGGTGAATATACATTGCTGTTATTTATTTCATAAATGTATTTTATTTTAATGTCATGATTATGTCTCTTTTGATAAATTTTTTATGTACAGCGCGGTGAGCCCAGGCCTAGGCTGGGGTAGCGCGCTATATAAGACCTCTTATTATTATTATTATTATAGTGCCGGGTAAGGGAGTACTTGAGTGATTCCATATGGTGATATAGTGCTGGTTAAGAGAGTATTTGATTGATTCCATATGATGATATATTTCTGGGTAAGAGATTAGTTGATTGATTCCATATGATGATATAGTTCTGGGTAAGAGAGTATTTGATTGATTCCATATGGTGATATAGTTCTGGGTAAGAGAGTATTTGATTGATTCCATATGGTGATATAGTTCTGGGTAAGAGAATATTTGATTGATTCCATATGGTGATATAGTTCTGGGTAAGAGAGTATTTGATTGATTCCATATGATGATATAGTTCTGGGTAAGAGAGTATTTGATTGATTCCATATGATGATATAGTTCTGGGTAAGAGAGTATTTGATTGATTCCATATGATGATATAGTTCTGGGTAAGAGAGTATTTGATTGATTCAATATGGTGATATAGTGCAACATATAGGAAATAAGTTGTTTTCATTCTTCACTCTCGCTGTTGCATTGGTGCAGTTCATTAGAGCCGCGATGTCTACATCTAATGTGCCCCCATGTTCACCTCCGTTGAAATCGGATGAGACCAGGGATGGCTTGTTTTATTAAATACCCCCCCAGATGTTGACTGAACCCATCAGATAGCCGTCATCCCGTCTCACCTATATAGCACGAACGGCATCTACGGGAAACAATCACATAGACCACATTTCGATGGTGAAGCCATCTTTGATGGTAGAGGTCCCAATGGGCTGATTGAACATGGTTTAGTCCCATCGTGAGAAGGGTCGGCTCGAAGGCGACAATGAACCGGAATTTCACATAGATTTTTTTATCCCGTCCAAAGACAATACGTGGAGAGTATTAGAATATCATGTTGTGAGTGCAAGGGTCAGCAAGGCATATATTAAAAAAAAAAGAAATCATATTTTGAGGGTGGTAGGTAAGGATGAGTTTTGTTCTACCCTCATCTTTGTTTAAAGAACATTGAAAAGCCCCATTAGGTATGGTTGTGCTGATGCCAATGAGCGCCGAAATAAAGGTTCTCTCGGGATAAGATCTGGAGCGGAGGGAGACCACAATTTGATTTGTCCTGTCTCAAATGTCTTCATCTGACTGGCATAGCCGAGGCAGGGCGGCTGAAGACGTTGGGGAGAGGGTATGGAGTCTTTGCATGATCAACATTTAAAATAAAAAGGAATTAGGATAATTCTCAACACAGCTGAAAACAAAATGCCACTTAAAGTAAATCCCATAATTCTGCACTTAAAAGAAATTTACTTTTTAATCCACAAAAAATTTATTTTCAGTTAATAAAATCTAAAATAGATGCCTACATATTATACACCCCCAGCACCCCCCCCCCATAGTTACGCTATAAGGTCATAGTTTTACACTCCTTGCAATAATATAATCAAAATATCCGAACATTGCATTAAAAACTATTTCTTATTCAGAGATTTGAACATAGCCGGAGATGAGAGCGTATTTAAAATATGTAAATACCACATATCCCAATGCAGTGAGAGAATTCAATGCGTTCTTTATGAACATTAGATCAAACCGAGTGCGAACAAACAAAGTGGCGATGAAAGAGAGACATTGCGTGTCACTATTACGCCCGCTTATGTCGTGACTGGGTCCGTTGCTACAGGTCGCATTCCTTACAAATCTGCCATCGTTAAAGTGTGCCATAATCGCTTGACTTACCAAGCGTCTAAAAATAGACTCATGACGTTTTGGACACGATTCAATGATTTTTTTTTTTAAAATGACCCGTGAGAACGCAGCCAGGTCTATGGCATGTGGACTAAATATTGGAAGTTGGACGAGTAGTGCCCCACCCCTGCTCTCTCCAAGAACAACAGAGACTCGGTGATTTTACAGCGTCTGGTTAGATCAGCCTGTGGTTAGAGCACCCTATGGTTGGAGTCCGGGGCGTCTTTTCAGATTTTTTCAGGGGAAAAAGGGGGGGGGGGACAAAAAACTTGGTTTACTTCTTAAGTTTTTTTTATTCCTGGAGGGGCCCCAGTACATAGCAATTGAAATTAAAACCTGCAAATTCAGGGAAGGGGGCAAATGCCCCATGGTTGGAGTCCGGGGCGTCTTTTCAGATTTTTTCAGGGGAAAAAGGGGGGGGGGGACAAAAAACTTGGTTTACTTCTTAAGTTTTTTTTATTCCTGGAGGCGCCACAGTACATAGCAATTGAAATAAAAACCTGCAAATTCAGGGAAGGGGGCTAATGCCCCACCCTACCCTACCCAAAATAACGTCCCTGTTTAGAGCACTCTATGGTTAGAACACCCGGTGGTTAGACTCCCCTGTGGTTAGAGCACCCTGTGGCTAGAACACCCAGTGGTTAGATTCCCCTGTTGCTAGACCACCCTGTGGTTAGAACACCCAGTGGCTAGATCCCCTGTGGTTAGAGAACCCTGTGGTTAGAACACCCGGTGGTTACATTCCCCTGTGGCTAGAGCACCATGTGGTTAGAACACCCGATGGTTAGATTCCCCTGTTGCTAGACCACCCTGTGATTAGAACACCCAGGGGTTAGATTCCCCTGTGGCTAGACCACCCTGTGATTAGAACACCCGATGGTTAGATTCCCCTTTGGCTAGAGCACCCTGTGGCTAGAGCACCCTGTGGTTAGATTCCCCTGTGGCTAGATCACCCGATGGTTAGAGCACCCTCTGGTTAGAGCACCCTCTGGTTAGAGCACCCTCTGGTTAGAGCACCCTGTGGTTAGAGCACCCTCTGGTTAGAGCACCCTGTGGTTAGAGCACCCTCTGGTTAGAGCACCCTGTGGTTAGAGCACCCTCTGGTTAGAGCACCCTGTGGTTAGAGCACCCTCTGATTAGAGCACCCTGTGGTTAGAGCACCCTGTGGTTAGAGCACCCTGTGGTTAGAGCACCCTCTGATTAGGGGTTTACAACACTGTCTTAATATCTATATATATATCACAACTCCAGCATGGAAATACAACAGTTCTTTATTTACAGGATCCAATAGCAATTCACAGTGACAATTTTCAATGGCGATAATACTAACTCTCTAACTACTCTCTCGGATGGACTCTGGCATATCAGCTCAACTAACAACCAACCAACTAACCCAGAGCTCTTTTATATCCCTACAAAACTCTCAACATACACTAACGTCCCACACCATGGACTAACTTCACGCTCTGACCTCACGATCAACAACTCACAAAACACTCTCACGATTCACGACCCCCCCTCCCCAACATTCACAACAATCTAGTTCACAACAGCACCCTGTGGTTAGAGTTAAATAAAAGGTAAGACAATATCCATTAAGAAAGAGGTTAAGCAAATTGTAATAATCTTAAAATATACACGGTATGGACATAGCAATGAACAGTGCCCTGACAATCAATAGTGCCCTAACTATGAACAGTGCCCTGACAATCAATAGTGCCCTAACTATGAACAGTGCCCTGACAATCAATAGTGCCCTAACTATGAACAGTGCCCTGACAATCAATAGTGCCCTAGCAATGAACAGTGCCCTGACAATCAATAGTGCCCTAACTATGAGCAGTGCCCTGACAATCAATAGTGCCCTAACTATGAACAGTGCCCTGACAATCAATAGTGCCCTAACTATGAACAGTGCCCTGACAATCAATAGTGCCCTAACTATAAAAACAGCGCCCTACAATCATGAACAGCGCCCTACAACAATGAACAGTGCCCTAAGACCCAAACATTTTACCTTTTCGATAACAATAAGTAGGAAAAATAAAGGCATTTGAACTCGCTTGTCGACGTGCGGTAATGTTTATTCATTATAAGATCGAACATGAATCGATAAGTGATCAATATTTAAATATTCTTTAGTGACACACGCTGACCTACTTGTGTGTCGATTACGATTGAGTTCTGATCAGAGCTTCCAGTTTTGCGTATGCATTTAAAATTGAATTACTACACGCATGTAAACGTGGTGCAACTGTGTGATTACGTATACATTTAAAATTGAAGTTATTAAAGGTATATGTCATTTGGGCTGCTTTTATTGTGTTGAATTTTGACGCATATGGCGTGCTCGCATATCACAAAACATACAAATTACCTGTTTTCTCCACAGCGATGACAGCCAAAACGGCAGCTACAAAACCCCCAGCCGGACAGGCGGGGGACGCCTCTGAAGATGGTGACTTTGTTGCACTCAGGGAGAGTAGAGAGGTCAGTAGTGATTATAAAAAGGGCCAGGAAAAACGTGTTTCCTCATGAGTATATTTTTTAAAGCGATAACAATAGGAATAAAAATGATAATTTAAATTCAAACATTATGCCAGAATGGCAATAAAAAAATTATCGCCGCTATCTAACATGAGATTCTGTCAGATTTTTCGCCTTAAAGAATATAGTTAAATACATTCCTGTAAATTACCTTATGCTTACACTTACAGAATCGTGTTCCAGAGACGTTGGAGATATCCCCGGCCTTTTTAACTCAAATATTAGAGAGTTCTAAAGATGTTAGACCGCCGTCTGCTACAAAGAGACCTCAAAGTGCTGGCGGAAGAAGAAAACCAAAAGCTGGTGAAACTAACATATGGTCGCAGTTGACAGGTAAAAGAATTGCGGAGCCTTCTTTCTTTCTTTTCTAAATAACGCATGAAAGACGGTGGTGTAAGAAATAAGGGGCGGTGAGGGGGTGGGGTTGGTCAACACAGGGTGCCATTTTTTTCTTTATATCGGATGTGGTAGTTTAGGCTAACTTCACTTCAGTTTTTTTTTTAACTTGGAAGGGGCGGCAAAAAACTTGGACCGCCCTCGGCGACACAAACCCGAAATTAAAAAAAAAAATATATCGTTTAATTGGTGGAAATCAAACTTTTATTTTGAATCATTTATAAACTTCATATTTTCCCTATTAAATATTTTTCATTGACTTGATGAATCATGGTTTTATTTTCAGACGCTGTAATAAGTGGGCCGACAGCATTTAAAGAAGCAATAAACAATATCCAGTCCAACAATAAATTGTCTAGCAAGGACTTCCTAGATCCCAGAAATAACCAGAACATTCTTCATTTTTCCGTGGAGGAAAAGAATCAAGAAATTGTGAACCTCGTTTTGGAAAGAGCTGATGAGGATTTGATACTACATAAGTTTGAAGTTGATGTCTCAAACATAATCGGCAAAAAGAATGTTTTACACCAAGTGGTTGAACAGAACAATCTTAGTCTTTTAAAAACTTTACTAGCGAAAATTTCAAATCAGCAAAAACGAATCGCGCTACTAAACCAGGAAACACCGGTAGAGATAAAAGGTCAAAGGCCAAGGACTTTTCCATGTTTGCACTTAGCAGCATACTATGGTTTTACTGAAATCGTTATGTTCATCATTGAACAAGGCGTCGATGTTAACCACGTCAATGCTAAAAATGATACATCACTGTTGTGGGCTTCACGTTGGGGCCATCAGGCAACAGTTAGAGCATTACTAAAAATAGGAGCTCTAACAAGTGTTGAAAATGACAAAGGTTCAACTGCTCTATATTGGGCAGTGCGTTATGGACACACAGAAACTGTTGACATTTTAGCAAGGGAAGGAAAGGCTAATGTTAGCCAGACTAGAAAACTGGGTTTTGTAGCACCCATTGTATTGGCTTCTGCTTTAGGATTTGATGATATAGTGTCAATTTTACTTGACTGTGGGGCTGATCCCAACTTTGCTATTCGTGGTGGAGAGAGACCCATTCATCATGCAGGAAGAGAAGGGTTCTCAAAAATTATTGAGGTTTGTGTCAGATAATATAATGCATTGTCAATAAACTTAATGAATGAGAATAATAAAGCCAAAACATATTCTTTCATTCATCATGATCATTGATATTCAAAATTGTAAAAATATCCGTAAAATCATCATTTATAAATGTAAATTTATTTATAAAAAGATACCAAATTGTCATTGTTTTAGATCCTGGTGGACAAGGGAGCTAAAATAGATGCTGCTGATGAAAGGGGTGATACCGCCCTACTTCTGACAGCCAAATATGGCAGAGCTAAAGCTCTACAGACACTGGTAAAAACTGTCAATATGGACAAGTATTGGCTTAAAAAAAATAACTTTACTATTAGTCAGAAAATAAATGCTTAGCCTGTATCTATTCACAATAGTGCCTAATATCAATCTGAACATCATAAATTAAGTAAACAAGACATTAGTTTTATTGATAAATGTTTGATTCGTTTATTTTCTCAGAGCCTACAAACTATTGAACTTTGTTCACTTTCCAACCTTATTTTTTTCTTCAGCTTCAGCTTGGGGCTAATGTTAACCACAAGAATCTCATGGAAGAAGATGTTTGGACATTTGCTGTCAGCAATGACAATGACCTCATCTTGAAGTTGTTGGTGATCCATCAAAGAAAGAAAGAGTTGGAAACAATTATTGAAAGTAAGAGGAAAGAATATTACCTTTAAGATCATCTAAACAACATGTCTTGTAAAATGATTTTAAAGAAGGAAAAAATGTTTGTTCATATGTATAAACAACTTTAATAAGTAGACACCTTAAATAATTTAATGATTGTTTTGTCAAATGCTAAAAATTTTCAGATCATGTTGATTCTAAGCCAAAAAGTACACCATCTGGCATTAACTCCTTGTTAAATCTGGCAGCTTCTGTTGGAAATATTGATAGAATGAAACTTTTATTTGAAATGAAGGTAAGAAGATTATTTCCTTTCTGCTTATGTCAAAATGTGAAATGATTATTTTAAGTTCGGCAATATGTAAACCCAACAGGTAAATGAGCACTAATATAAATTATGTTAAATCAAACAAACATTATTTTTGAGACTCAAATCTTTATGTTTGAGTAATTCTTGGCTTGTAATAAAAATAATATAAACCTCACTTAAGGTAGATGATTTGAATTAAAGCAGCAACTCTGTTTAAATAGTATGTTCAATTTTTATTTGAAATATTTGTTACAGATTGATGCAAATGCTACAGATGAAGATGGAAACAACTTTCTCTATCATGCTGCCATTAACAATCAAGCTGATGTTATCAAAGAGTTTCACAAAATGGTTTGTGTCTTAAAATTAATTTATATTTTAGTCTAATCTCTCTAGCTTAATGAATAATTACAGGGCTTTACTCTACAACATCCTAGAAAATGTCAGTCTAGCCTATCTACATGATTTTCCCAGTATTTAAAGGTTGATATCTTCAAAGCTCAACACACTGGATCCAAACCTATTGTTGATAATTACATTCTTTAATTGACTTGCTGTATTCATGGATTAAAGATTTATATAACATTGACGTGAAACATGCCAACCAAAGTCTGTTCGTAGCATAGTGTTATTAAGTGTTATACTTGAATCATACGAAAGTTAAAGATATATCTCTCAAATCAAGCCAAAACAAATAAACTAATTAAAAAAAACATTAATCTAAGAACGTGAAGACACCAAATCAAGAGATTATAAGAACATGAGATCAAGCTAAACAATTAATAGCAAAAGCTGTGTAATAAAAATGTAAAAGGAAATTTGATACATTAACACTTGCTTACATTATTCATATGTTATAAATATTGAACTAATTTTCCATATAGCACTTAAAAAATTAGTTCAATTAGTTTTTAACATGTCAAAATTGCTAATTAGTTACCGGTACTGTATTTTTTTTGAAAGGTCAACATTGACAGTGCCAACAGATCTGGGAACACTGCCCTTCATGAAGCTTGTGCCAAAGGTCACCATGAAGCAGTTATGGAACTTATTCAGTGCAAGGCCATGGTCAACATTAGAAACTCACAAGGTAATATACCTGAGTGTGACAGCCTTTTATTAAACTATTCATTCATTTTTACCGGTACTCTCTAGTTTTAACATATAAGCTGTTTATTATCTTATTCCATATTTTTTTTAAAGATGATTGATAAAGATTTTTGACCAACACCAAATTATACATGATTGACATTTAAAAAAAAAAAATCCTTGGCAAAAAATGTATGTCAACTTATTTATAGTTGCTTACTAATATTTGAGGATAAGCACTTGAAAGATCATTTCAAAATCCTTGTAGCACAAATTACCTCAATAGGTAAAAATACTTTATCATTTAACTGTAAATTTTAGCTTTTTTTTCTCCAGTAAATATTTCTAGCTGCTTTCCTCTAATAATCATTGTTCTTTATCTTTTGACAGGAGAAACTGCTCTTCATATAGCCGCTTTCTCTAAGTTGATCCAGCCACTGACAGTGTCAAAGCTGATAAATTATGTCATCAAGTCCCACCCCTGGGAGGTCCTCAACATAACAGACAAGTACATTTGGTTCATATAATTTTCTCTATACTCAATTCACGTAGTGAACCTTGATTTATTTCATTTATTTCATGAATTCTTGTATGGGTTTGGCTTCATCAGTCAGCCCATTATGAACATTTATTTCATGCATTAAATAATTCAGCCGTTGGTATTCTCCTCAACCAAATTTAATGTTATCCTATATGTAGAAAATTTCATTAAATAATCTAAGAGAGTTTGATTTTTATATATATAGATTCTTCTCATTGATCATTAATTTATTCATCACTTCATTTCAATGATGTTATGATGTTTTTTTCATGTATCAGTGAAGGTAACAACCCTTTGCACATAGCAGCCAAACATGCCAGGCCAGATGTCTTGTGGGAGTTTCGATTTGTTAGGTTCAAAGATGAAGATGTTGATGGGAACATAGCACTCCATGAGTCAGTCAGGTACAACCACTGGTTTTATTCCTTTCATCATTGATATCTTTTAAAACATTTTGTCATTAGCATTGCTTGCCATCTTGACATTTTGAAAGTAGCCTGTGTATGTAGTTGGTGTAGCAGTTATGTTTTGGACATGCAAGATACTAGTTAAACAAATGTTTTGCACAAAAATATTGTATCAGTTTAATTAATTTAATGACATGTGTGAGGTGGTTATCAGCTTAGGTTCAATTTTTAGCCTACTTGAGCCATTTTTTCGTCAAAACATAAATATATTAAAATGTAAAGAATTATTTTGTTATAATTATCTGGATTCAAGTTGTCTCTCTGTTTTGTAGGCAGAGTTTATTAACTCGGGAGTTTTCTCACCTGTCTGAGAATTGCCACCTTTTGTAGGCAGAGATATCTATTTACTTTGCCACATTTTAAACTGTTTATTAAGACAGAAGGGGAGACTAGTTTAGCAGGGTGCTTATTATTTTTTTAGTTCAAATGTTAAATGTGTTAAAGTCAACATAATTGAAACTATTTTGAAGTGATTTTAATTACAACATAATTTCAACTATATTGGAACAATATACAGTTTGCTACTGGCAATAAACTATATGACATACATTGGAAAAATTATAACTGGTTGAAAAGCGCATAAAATAAATGTTTTGCAAACTTCCTTCCTAGTTCACCATGTAGCAAGTCCTGCTATAGGTGTGTTTACAGAATGGGCAGTTGATAAGCTCCATATTTTCTAGGGACACAACTATGGCCAATAAATACGTTCATCCATAGTGGATGACGACAATAAGTAGCAATGTCTGTGAAGATAGCAGAGTTATCTATTTACATGGTCTTCATTAATATTACACTGTGTTCAAAACCACATAGTGAAAACTCTTGTTAACAGAAATCAAGATGGCTGACACTCCAATCTGAGTTCACGACCATTGGCTAACAATTAGGGGTTGCAATCCAGGATCCCGAATTTCAAAAATACCGGACCATAATTGATGCTTGAAAAAAAACAGGATTTTTGATAATCCTGGGATTTCATTTTCAATTTTTGTTTGAATCGTTTTTCTTAGTTTCCACGTCGTAGTTAAAGCAAGACATACCAATAATTTATGAGATGTGCTAATCCATCACACCACATGTCTCAAGTTCAAAGAAAGCCGACCGACGGGCTAGATATGTGTACTCTTATTTGTCAAGAATCATGACTTTGTGATTAGTTTTGTTTTTGCATCGTGTTTGTGTAGTGTGTAAGTGGAGACGAGTCACGACGTGAAGGTCCATGATTGGTAAGTTAATGTTTTCATATTATTGATTAATAAGTAATTGGTATAGTTAAATGGAGATCGAGTTTTGACTTCCATTAAGAGTTTGTTTGGAAATAATATATAACACGTTGCACTCAAATCACGGGGTCAACTTTTAATTAATTTTTTTAAATTGCTGATTTCATTTAATAATGCCAAAAAACCTACATATTTAAAAATATGAGTAAATCTGTATTTTGATAATCAAATGCCTTAAGTTTCAGACACAGAAAACTTATGTTACTTCTATTTTGTGATAACAATATTAATAATTTACATTCACCTCATAATTGATTTTTGAGCTATTTTATCTTAGGCTGAATTTCCCAGTTTATCTATACCGTACCTAGACAAAATGTACATGACTGAATGTACCAATTGTTCTGTACCGTACTTAGCCAAACATTTACATGACTGAATGTCCCATCTTGTCTGTGCTGTACCTAGCCAAAATTTACATGACTGAATGTCCCAATTGTTCTGTACCGCACTAAGCCAAACATTTACATGAAAATTTAAACATTTAAAAAAAGTTTTACACGTCCAACCAGTTCGATTGAATTAATAATTTTTTTGTTAATGATTTATTTTCCCTTCAGATTGATAGAAAGAAATGGGAGACCCTGAAAAAAATAAACCTAAATTTGAAAAGCATTTGAAACTATCGGAAACAAAGACATCAGTTTGGCATCATTTCTTGAAAGCTCCAGACAATCTCTTAGCTAAATGTATTAGATGTAACAAGATACTTAAAACATTTGGAGGTACAACTTCAGGCCTTGACTCTCATTTAAAGTCTGCACATCCAGTATCTTCTTGGTTGTATTTCTAAGGCCAGATTGCGACCAGATGCGAAAAAATATCGTGGATATTCAAAAGCTTGGTCAGACAGCGGATTCCTCGTTGGAAATAACTATGAACAATGAAATCGAACATCTTGGATTTGAGCATGACGAACTTAAAGACACACTGCCGCTTAAGAGACAATTAGAAATTGAAATACAAAAGAAACTTCAGGCTCAGGATAATAATTCCAGTCTAATGGTTGGAGACTTTAATACATTGGTAAAAATAGAAATGGTTTTATTTGAGAATGGCGGTTCAAGAGGAAAATATCTAGAAATTGCGTATGATAGCCTAAGGCCTAAGGTCTATTCCTCCAATCAGTGTGGAGTCAGAGCGGCAGTTCTCTTCATCAGTTTCAGGTTACTTTTGTAACCATTTGCGGTCAAAGTTAAGTTACCAAACATTATACATTGTCATTTTTACGATTTCATTATTTAAATTTTACCAAAGGTTAAAACGACACCAATTATTTTAATATTTGATTAATAAAACTATTTAAATTAAAAGTTAAGAATACTATTTTTGTTCGTCTGATTAAAGTCTGAAGATAAACATGTGTTTAAAAGCTTATTAAAAATCAAAGTGTGATATTTTTCCTAAATGTTTTTATTTCATTGATAAATCCTCACCTCTCATCTCGAATCATGACTAGAAATTCTCTAAATATCAAAAATATCAAAAATGCCGGGATTCCGGTATTTGTAAACTTCAAAACCGGTTTTGGCAAAAGGGACGGGTTTTGCGACCCCTACTAACAATGACATTCAGAAAAGATGACCTCCAAATAAGTACACATGTACTTGTGTTTATCTAGGTGCTGAAATATTTATGACTTGTATTGCAGGCCTGGAGAACCAGAAGTTCTAGAAATGATGTTGGACATATTTGATGCCATGAAACGAGATTGTGACATCAATCATCAAAATAAAAAACTACAGACATGTCTGCATCTAGCTGCAAAGTGAGGACATTTTTATTGATTTTGAAATATTTCAGTTTCTTAATGCATTAAATTTACACTTTTTTTCAATTGCCAACATCATTAGGGCCTTGAAAAAAAAAAGGCAATGATAGTGCATATTTCTTTTAAGATTTTTTTTCTAGGAAGGTTCTGGTTTGATGGCACATATTTCGCTTCTTCTTCTTATATTTGAGGTGCCCACGATCAATTTGTTGATCATTCTGGCTCCTGGTTTTAAATTCAGAGTTTGCCTTCTCTTAGATGGGTTGCCGTCCAAGGCTAACGAGTCCCATCTACCCGGGGTGCTTGGGATGATTTGCTTTGGTGGGGATTGAACACCAGACCACCAGCTGTTCTGTTCGCTTATTTCCTAAAATCTCCTTATTTAATGTTGGTAGACAATGTGCCAGTTGAAAAAAAAAGAAGCATTTTGTTACAGAAGAAACATTATTTCCTCTTAAAAAATGATTATCCAATAAGGTTTTTTTTAAACATTGATTTTCTTCTTCTTCTTCTTCTATATCTTAAGGGCCCACGATCAATTTATTGATCATTTTGGCTCCTATGCATGTAGATGGGATTTGCAATGTTTCTGTTCCTGGTGTTGATGAGGAAATTTCACAGATTTCCAGTGCCACTTTGTGAGGGAATCATGCACTGGGGGTTTGAAGGCTTGAGGCAATAGACACAAATGTGTCTAGTGTTGTCGCCTCAACCGTTCCTTTTGAAAGATTGTTCCAGTCCCTGATTGTCTTGGGCAGGAATGAGCAGCTCCTATACTGGCTTCTTGCTGGTATGAGCCTGAATTGCCTGTCATGGCCTCGTCGCTGTCTATGGGGGAGAGGTACGAGTTTCTGTTTAATACTGGAACAGTGGACCAGCCCATTATTTATCTTGTACATCATGGAGAGCCTGGATTGTCGTCGTCGTTTCTCCAATGGTGACCAGCCTAGTGTTTCTAGCATGCTGCCAACACTTGAAAAATAAGCCTAAGAATAGTATTACTAATAGTATGATCTTATAGGTTTGAAAATTTAAAGATGAATATTTTTGTTTTTGTAAACAGAGAAGGATTTCTGGACAGTGTCAAACGACTGATGCTGTTTGGTGCAGATATTTCACTAGCTGACCACAAGGGTAACCAAGTGCTCCATATGTTAACTAGCCTCACAGTTACTGACCCTGCACACAGCTCCCGATATCTTGTCATCATTGCAACCATTCTAGATAGAGCTCCTCAGGTGGGTACATTCTAGACAGAGCTCTCGGGTGGGTACATTTATGCTGCTGTGAGCTAGGAGTTTGGTATTTATCATTTAATGAATGCAGCTAAGGATGGCTATTCAGTCAAGCTTAAAATGTGCATTAATAATTAAGGTAAACATTGCTGATTAAATAATGCGTATGTCTCCAAATTGAAGCTGTCCTTATGTTTAAGTTAATGTTTGTTTAGTGTTAAACTCCATAATATGTTCTTAACTGTATGTTCTTGTGTATGATAATATTGACAGCATAAATCTATGATGTATGATTGACAGCATAAATCTATGATGAATGATTGATAGCATAAATCTATGATGTATGATTAACAGCATAAATCTATGATGTATGATAATATTGGCAGCATAAATCTATGATGTATGATAATATTGGCAGCATAAATCTATGATGTATTATTGACAGCATAAATCTATGATGTATGATTGACAGCATAAATCTATGATGTATGTTTGACAGCATAAATCTATGATGTATTATTGACAGCATAAATCTATGATGTATGATTGACAGCATAAATCTATGATGTGATAATATTGACAGCATAAATCTATGATAACGTCTCACTCATTATGCCTCTAATTACCTAATGTTGTTTTCATGAACCTTTTTCAGTGGTACTCTTCAATTAAAAAAATTAAACTCAATGATACCAAAGATACAGAATCCACAGTGCAGATTAGGAGGAGAGCCATTTTGAATCTCATCTGTGAGATGAACAACAAGGAAGAATTGACGGTCCTTGACCTTGCCTGCAAGATGGGTGCATGTGATGTCATCAAATACTTGATTACCATGGAGGATGTCATGGCTTTTAAGGTCAATATGGCAGTTAATTTTAGAAAGTTAAATTTATTTCTAAAATTTTAAAGTCTCATTTTTTATCATGTGTATGAGTTAAGAGAAAAAAAGAAAAAGATAAATTTCTTATAATAATCTGACTTCTTTCAATGCAGGTTGAGAAATTCATACGTTACGACATTACAAGCATAACACCAAGAACCAATGGAACCTTAGGAGGAATGTGTGCCAGGGGCTCTGTGTCACCCCGACCTTCTTGTCTGGAATGGCTGCTAGCCATTGGGGATGATATACCTCAAAATGCAGCCAAGATTCTGGACATTCAGGTAAGAAAACATAATTAAATGAATCAAGGGCTTTCTTAATAAAATCATAAAAGTGTAAATTACAAAAAAATTACTTTTTTGAAATCCAAAAATAGTTTAAACATTAAATTATTGAATGGTTGTTTTTTTATCTCTCAGCCTTTCAGTGACATTGAGTCAGCCTACAGCTCAGTTGCATTATGGGCCTATGCCATTATTATGGCTGTTCACATAACATATATGATTTTGTTCAGGTGAGCATTGACATTAGTCATTAAATTTCCCAAACCTTTACAATGGTGTGCACTGTCAAAGAGTTCTGTCTCTCAAGACTTCTTTTTAATGTTTAAGAAAGGGGAGAAAATTCAAATAAAGTAAATACTACATTTTTTCCTACTGATACATTATAATAATTATAAGGGTACAAGTTCCCTGGTCAGAAATGAGCTATTTTTAAGGGGAAATGTTCCCTGATCAGATATGAGTTAATTAAAAATGACAATTTTATTACAGCCCAATTTTAAATACCGGTATATAAGATACAAGATTAATTTTCAGTAATTTTACAAATACAAGACAAACTATCACAATGAACATATTAATTGTTATGTTTGTTTATGTTTAAAAGTACTTTTCTTTACTGTACTTTGTAAATTCACTATCGACATAAAGTCTATAAACAGATGTCACCAAAGTTGTGTTGAAATTAGGAATGTTCATCGCTTTCAAAAGTGTTTATATTAATATTATAATAACAATAATCCTTAACTTAGCTGGTCTGGACTGACGCTCTTGTACAACAGTCGAGCTAAACCTGGAGAGAGGGACATTGATGCCCCCACATTAGTGACCTACATCATTGTGCCTCTAGAGCCTGCTTTCTTTGTTTTCTACAACACCTACACCATGGTCAAACTCTGTTGCATGGGGGAACTTTCAATCAGGTGAATTGCTGTTGTTGATTTGCACAAGAACGTATTCTCAGGAACTGGGCTCTTAATCTTAACCTGTCAAAATATGCACATTTGGCATTAACCTGTTCAATCCGGTAATGGCCAAATCGGGCCACTCAACCCTTTGTTTACGCGTCACTAAATAGAAAGCAGAACATTTAAATGAAAATCTCCCTGGAAACGAGACCAAGGGAGATAACTCTCTTTTAAATATATTTTTATTTATTGGGTGAGGAGTATTCATTAAAAGAGATTTTTTCATTTTAGTGTTATGATCATTATAAGACAAGTGCTTCGTCAAAAATTGACTTTTACGAATTTACACAAGAAAAGCATAAGAAATAAAGTTATGCAACACATGAAGCAACCGTTTGTGAATGCAAATCAATTTTTTTCAAATAAATATACTATTAAATAGATTTGATTTGATTTCTTTTTCAAAACCTTTCTAACGGTAAAGGTGGAGATGCTCCCCCTTGGGTGGGGTTTCCAATGATAACATTTCTGAGCGCCCTGGATTGAATGGCTTAATCTTTATTAAAATTTTCTGGACAGTATTTGCAGATACAACTATGTACAAATGCATGTATTTCACTGTGGTTAAAGCTCACATGTGTCTATCAACAGGTCAAAACTGTCTCAAGGTGGACCGATGGCGTTATTGAATACATTTATGTCTGTGATTGTGGGCCTGGTCTACTCCATATTTGTCATCATATGGATCATAACATATGCCATAGACTACAACTATATGGACTATTTCCTGGCTATTGCACTATGTATAGGTGAGTTGACCAATCATTTCTCTGTGTACAGGAAAGTTCCCCAATGTCTCCCTATTGCTCTGTTTTTTTGGTGGGTTGATACCGAGTTGACCAATGTTTGCCCAGTGCCTTCTCTATAAATGAATGGTGTAAGAAAAAACCCCTAAATTTCTAGTTATCTCCCCTTCCCAAATTACCTTTAAAAAAATACCAGACTTTCAATAAACCCAAGAAACATAAATTATCCTTGCATTGGTGTGTTATGAAACCAACCTTGTTTATTTTTATGATTATATTCCTGCCCCTTTTGAGACCATATAAAAATCAACTTTATAAACTCTACCGCTTGATTGTAAGTTAACAAAAATTGACGTATCAAAAATATTAGCCCCAGATAAATTTTTTAGACCACAAAAATATCAAGGTTAGATCTCACTAGCGTTGACGAGGAGAATAATGGTGAATAGAAAATGAATTTGCTGATCTCAGTTAACAAATTTGTGGGTCATATTACATTTGCAGGTTGGATGTTCACTATTGCCTTCACCAGAGGTTTCAGAGTTATCAATTATTTTTGGCGGCTCATTCAAATCATGATCATCAGGGATGTCTTCAGATTCCTTTTTATCTACCTCTTTGTGCTGCTGGCTTTTGCATTTGCCTTCCATGCTTTATTTCAAGGTAAATTTACCAGATAGTTTTACAAGATGAGAAGTTTGTTGTGTTCGAATATTTCCCGTAAATTTTTGTCATTTCAACTTTGATTAATATAAAATGTTCAGATCTATAGATAGGTCACTTAAACAGGGCATTAATGAATCTGTTGTGGTGCCAAGCCTTTTGATTGTGCAATGTAGGTGAATAAGTATTTTATAGTGTCACCATGTAAATAATAAACTCTACAACCTTCTTCTGGTGTCACCAATCGCTGGTTGCAGTTCACTGATCTGTAACACACTGATGGTAATATAACTTAGTAGAAACCTCACAATTTATAAAAGAAAAAACTACATGTTCCTGAATTACTGAAATTTTTAAAGTTTTATGGCCAACAATTTCATAAAATATTTCCCCCAAAAGATCCTTTAACCCTCTGCAACATTTCCTAACTATGAGACAGTAGCCAACATTTCTATATTAAGACACAGTAGACAACATTACTATACTATGACACAACAGGCAATGTTTCTGTACTATGAAACAACAGGAAATGTATCTATACTAATACACAGTAGACAACATTTCTATACTATGACACAACAGGCAATGTTTCTGTACTATGAAACAACAGGAAATGTATCTATTCTAATACACAGTAGGCAACATTTCTATATTATGACACAGTAGGCAACATTTCTATACTATGACACAACAGGCAATGTTTCTGTACTATGAAACAACAGGAAACGTATCTATACTAATACACAGTAGGCAACATTTCTATATTATGACACAGTAGACAACATTTCTATACTATGACACAACAGGCAATGTTTCTGTACTATGAAACAACAGGAAATGTATCTATACTAATACACAGTAGGCAACATTTCTATATTATGACACAGTAGACAACATTTTTATACTATCATGCAGTAGTAAACATTTCTATACTATTGTACAGTGATGAAGGAATAAACAAAGAATTTATAAAGGGTCCTTGGTGGCTTGGTCCAAACAGTCGGTGGCTTGGTCTAAACAGTCAATCTCATGCTTGTTGTCTAGTTTTCAATCTAGCAAAAAAACAAGCAAAACACCCAGGGTGGATGAGACTCGTTAACCTTGGATGGCAACTCATCTAAGAGAAGGAAAACTCTGAATTCAAACGTGGAGTGGAGTCCAGTACGCAAATAACATTGACATAATGAAAAATTCCGACAACTCCTGCAGCTCTGCTGGTACCAAGCTGTAACATCCACACATGATAATCCCTTGGGTTATCCAGGTGCATGGAGAAAGGCAATTTGCTGTATAAGGAACCAACTTATCCTTCTGACACTTTTATTTCAGTATCCACAACTTTGTCAGATCTCTACCCCAACCCTATCTACACCATTTTCCTTATGTTCAACATGTTGATTGGGATGGAATACATCTTTGAGAATGATGTGGTGGATGATGGATTCATTGCTGTCAGTAGATCAGCTTTGTTTATGAAGGTATGTTTAACCTTGTACATAATTCACAGGTCAGCTTTGTGACTCAAGACACATTCGACTTTGTGCATGATTCATAGATCAGCTTTGTTAATGAAGGTATGTTCAACCTCGTGCATGATTTAATGACTGGTCCCATCAAGGTTCATGACCAGCTGTTTACTCAGTCTACAACTAACCATGACATGACTTCTCACAACTAAGAATTTTAGCTACCGGTAATACAGTCAAGATGAATAGTCAAGTGAGAAATTTATATAAAGGTATTGGATGAATTAGTTGCCTCTTGTGATCAAATGTAGGTGATAATGATAACACAAGGCAATAAAAGCCTCTTTTTCTGGTAGAAATATCTGGTACCTAAATATTCTTGTCTCTCTTTTGTGGTGCCTTCTACTTTTTATATCCATAATTTAATAACATATGTTCTATTAGATTTCACTGGTACCGTATTAAATTTAATATTAAATAATTTAAACTTGTTTTGTTTAGATTTTGTATGTGATCTACATGATCCTTGCCACCATCGTTCTACTTAACCTGCTCATTGCCATGATGAATGATTCATATCAGGAGATTCTCAGGGTAGGTTACTACAAATCTAAACAAATTTATTTCAATACTATACCTTAAAAAAACCAAACTGTTCCTTATAATAAACTTATATGCTAATGGCGATTGGTTACCCTCTGGCATATCAAGACCATAAAGTTGATTCTAAAGTAGGTTTTATTTGACGTCCGGGGTTGTTTTAACATCTCATATCTTGTGTGTTAATGTTGGTAGGAATAATGCCAAGGTTAATCGGTTTTAGCATTAAAATGTTGGCCACTTAATACTTCAGAATTTTTCATGTGGTTGCTTACAGTATCAGTAAGGCTAGCAAAGAAATATGGTGACCATTGAGAGCTGTAAGCAGACATGCAGATGACACTCAGAAAATGTTTGGAAATTTTAATTTAAAATAAATTGGCTATAACTTATCTAAAAGTCCCAAACTTTTTCGGGTCACATCACCTTTGCTACATGTAGGTGTTTTTGGGAGGTGCTGATGACAAATGTTTACAAGTGCACCAAGAAATAGGGAGAATTTTTTTTTTTTCTCCCATGTTCGCTGTTTAGTAATAACAATCTATTTCTGAACTACAAAAGAGAAAAATACTTAACTTGACTTTATCACAATACTATTCAGTTCATACTGAATCATAGAAATTATTCAGAGATATGGTCTAAAAAAATGTATATGTTAAAAAAATCATTTTTAAAATGTATTTTTGTACATTGATCTGTAAATTGACCCAGTGAAGCCAGGTGAGTACACTTATTGGGATTGCTAATTTTTAAATCATGATGTCAAAATTGAAAAGCCATTTTAAATTCTAAAATATACACAGACCTGCCAAGCCTTCAGCTTTGTGTCGGAATTATACGGATATTTTTACCCCCTCAACCGACCTTCCAACAAACCCCTTAAAATTTGGATTTTTTCGACTTTATAATTTTTCACCCGAAAATCCGAAAGGGACCACAAAAAAAAAAAAAAAAAAAAAAAAAAAAAAAAAAAAAAAAAATGCATTTGTTTTTACTAAATGTCTACACGTCCGGCAACCGGCCGAATAAGTGAATAAGTTCTCAAGATATTCGTCCGGCTACTACATATTCAACCAAATCACATGACCAGCGTAACAAAGTTGCGTGAGATATTTGTCTCTCAGCCTTGTCATGTAACCGCTAATTATCGATCAGAGTTATGGTACATCATTTCAACAAATTCAAGATACTCTGGACATTTGCATGAAAAAGAAATTGTTCAATTCTACAAAAGAAATACTACAACCATTACTGGTATATATATAATGAACAATTGGTTAAAAAGTGCCAATGTTTTTTTTTATAAAGCGTGACATGCAATGAATATCTCCCACACTTTTTGTCCGGTCGCCTGACATGTAGACACTGTCTTGTTTTTATCGTAACGAACCGCAATCTTCAAATAATTTTTCAATCATCATTTGATCCGATCGTGATTCATCCTTTTACATGGCTAAAAAATAATTCAGACTTTATTTTTTTGCTATAGCTTTTCTTAATTAAATGGTTAAATCTGTCAAAAGTCGTGGGTACAATGATATTAATAAACATATTTTAACCCCAAAAAACCCCAACATACAACTGCAGCTAAAACTAAAAGTAAATGTAATCCATGTCTAATTAAACATTTCTTTGCTAAGGTATTGTAGGACTTAGTAAGTTTTATTTCATTTTATTTACCACCTTTCTGATTGAAGGAAATATTTCTCTAGCCAACTCCTATCGTTTTAATGCCAGTGACAAAAAAAATGTTTCCAGACTTGCAGATTGCTAGAAGATTGTGAAGAAAAATTACAATGAAACAGGGGCAAGCATGGAAGTTGATACTCTTTCTAACTTGCTTGTATCTAAAATCAATTGCAATGCTAACCAGTTGTCCAAAGAGTTGTTGGACAGTTGCAAAAGGCCACTAGGGATATGCTGGAAAACTGAACTCTTAGTCTTAGCAGCCTGTGAACATATGTAAATAAAATGGATCTTCTGTCCTGCACTGTATATATCTGTATATAAACATTTCCAGTAATGTTTTTCTTATGTTCTTTGGGCTCTTCAAAGACAATGGAGATAACTTTATATTTTTTATTTACTAAAAAAGGCTTGTGCATTAGTTTATAGATCTTAAGCCATTGCTCCCCCACCCCCTCCCCTTTTGGGGCACTGGTTCCTGGGGGGCAGCGGCCCCCCTTCACCCCTGCATGCACCCGCTACAGATTTCTTTTGTTGGCAGGTCTGTATATGGTTGTAAAAAAAGAATAAATGATCTTGGTGTACTAGAGACAAAACCAGTGGCAGCTTTAGGTAAAGGTGATATAGACAGACCAATGGCAGCTTTAGATATTGGTTATATAGAAAGTTGCCAAGAGCACCATTATTTCAGCCATGTCAAATTCCAGAAATATATAATTTTATCAGTATAGAGGAATAAGTGTTTTGATAAAGCAGATTTTACTATTAAATCCCATCATTGGGTAGGATAAAGCAGATTTTACAGTTAAATCCCATCATTGGCTAGGATAACACAGAGCTGGATACAACTTTCTAAGGCTGGAACTGGAAAAAAAACTTTTCACTACAGATTAGGGATTTACTACAGATTAGAGATAATCTACCATGATTAATTTCATTCATTGATCAGTCAAATAACCTTTTCAATATTATGAACAGCTAGCGTCTGTATTTCTGCTGATGCACATAAAAATTGCAAATTTTGTGTTCAGAAACAACGACAAGCTTGGAGGATTGAGTCAGTACAGTTGGGAGTTGATGTGGAGAAGAGCATGCCAATAACATTCCCCATGTTTAGCAAGGTCAAGGTTATCAAAGGGTAAGTTCAAATGCTGGCCTCTTACTTATGTCACAATGATCCTTTGAATGCATCTTTAAAAAAAGACTAGTTATACTTGTGCTGCATGAACCGTGAGTCTCCAGTAAATCCGTTCTCAAACTTGTCACTGGCAACCCTCTGACATTTTTTGTACCAGGACATTTCATGATAACAAAGTTGATTTTCTTCTCAGGTTCATCTGCCCCGCTGACCAGGCCAATGGCACCACACGGTGGTATATTGAGGTGGCCAAGACCAAACAGTCTCTTGATGATGCCAGCAATACTGAAGATGGTGAGAAGGAGGCTTTAGAAGAATTGAAATCTAAGATGGCCGCCAATGATGCAAGAATGGCTGAGCAAATCCAAGCACTGAAAGTTAATGTGGATGATATCCATGCAATGGTAAGGAATCTGGAACATGCTCTTACAACCAAAGATAGAAAAGTTTAAGGAATGCTATTTATGTATTTAATATTTTAAGAAATTTTCAAATGTTAAACACAAGTTCATAAAAGTTATGACACATAAAATCATAAACCATGTCTGTTATGGGAGATGACATAAGGAATCACCCTACATACTCATCTGTTGATCTGCTGGCATACTAAGTATATACTCTTTCTTTGTTAAAGCTGAACCAGTTATTCTTAAATTTACATGTATGTATCAAGTTTTTTAAGCTGCTGAAATTACGGGTTTTATATATTTTTCATATAAATAGAAATGTTCCTGAGATTTTTGATGATGTTTACACACACCGCTATTCATGTTTTTCTAATCAGGTTGATTTTCATGTCAATGCAAAAATATTTTGAGGTTTTTATCAATTATATATGGCTTAATATGCCAGATTTAAATTTAATTACATTTTTACAATTATTTATTATGTCCCTTACTGTCTTATTTGTACTTTTTAAAATTCCTAATTTGAAAAAACAAATGTTTGTTACTTGTTAAATTAAGCTATGTTGTCAAGGAGAAAACATGTTACATGTGAACACTATTACTGGTAGTTAAAACGCTGTTACTGGACTTATCATATTTGTATTTATCATTGAATTTATTAACATTTAAGATTGAAAATGTCTAACTTTTATGTTATTTGATAAAATGTGGAGAAAAAAATACTGTTAAAGTTTTAGTTGTAGTGCCAACAAGCATGAATAACATATTTATAGATATTTATGAATTTACAATTAGAGTCCTGAAAATGTTACACTAAAAATAAATGATGAAAAAATGTCACCTGAATCTATTTAGTAATTGATTTGCTAAGAATAGAATATCGATACACATTTCTTGTGAAGGTTGTCCAACTGGCCATCATTTTCAGACTAGCTGTAATAGAATTTTGAAACTGATTTTTTTTTATCAAGTGAAGCAAATTGTTTGAAATCTTCATCTTCATGTAACATATTGTGTTGATTTGTAATGTCATGCTTGGCCAATGCAGGTCTTGTTCATTTGAGATTTTACAATTCATTTAGGTTTAAAATTTTGAATTTTTTTTTTTTACATGTTTTTAGTCAGTTGACAGAGATTTCCTTGAAAACACTAGCTCAACAATTAAAAAAAAAATGCCACTAAAGAACAGTTAAATGACATGGATTTGTGATAGTGACACATTCCAGTATTTCAGTTGTTTAAATCAGATGTAAAGCAAAATAAGGAAATATGTGAAACAAGGCATGATGGGAAAACCTGGAGAAAAAAGTACACAGCAAAACATGTCGGTGAGAAACCTTTAGTGAGAAGCCTTTAGTGAGAAACCATTAGTGAGAAGCCTTTAGTGAGAAGCTTTTAGCGAACAAAGACTAACACAAATATAATAACTTAGTTTATCCTAAAAGGTCAGCAAGTGGAGTGTGGTAAGCCATTAGTGGGTAAGAGAATTAATGTAGGCAAAAGTGAAGGAAGAGAGGAACAATAAATGCAAGCCCATTGGTTGTAAAAAGGAAGGGGTGGAGAAAAGATTCAACAAGTGAAGGAGAGCATGACTTCTATGCCATGTGCTGTCAAGGTCCCATGAATGTATCAGTTTATTTAAGCTCATCCTCGCAAACGTTTTCTTACAGGAAACAGTTGCAGTAATGGCCAAGTTGCTGGAGCCCTTCAGGTTGCTTCTATTGAAGTGTTTAGAGATATCACACATAAATAGCACAATTTCATTAAAAGAAAAGTTAATTAAGAAATAAATATTTAGATTTTGGAAGTGATTTAAAATTTGAAGTTTACATTTCTTTGAGTTGTTATGAACTAAATACAATATTTCCTTTGATCACTAAAGGAACCTATTGCTAACATAGCTAACTGCAGGTTCTATTGTGTAAGAGGCAGCTGGATAGTAAAAGGCCATCAAACAGATTGAGTAAAAAAAAAAACCCAATGAAATGTGTGTACATGGAATCTTGTATTTATTAACAAACTGCTACAACAATCAATGTTTCCTTAACATAAATTAAAAAAATGTTGAACAATGAAATGTGTGTTGCATTGAGTCTCAGATGTGTTAACAAACTGTTCCAACAATTGTTTTGTTAACATTGTATGTTTATTGTGGCAGTGAAAATTTGCACCTGTAGAGGATATAAATTTACAACTGTGAATTTCATAAAATGTCTTCTAACATCTGACAAAATTGAATGAACATAAATGTATAAAATCTAACAAATATATTGTGAACTATTAAAATATTCAGCTTATAAGCAAAGTCTGACACTGATAATCAAGTAGATTGCAGCAATTTGGAATATGTTTAATTAGTCATTTTGATAAAATTATTTTGTAACAAGAATTATTTATAACAAGCTAATCGAACTAATGACTATTGGAGGTGAAGAAAGCTACAATGTTTAGTGGTCAATAAATGTTAAAATTTTATTAATATATCTTTTCTTCTTGATCAGAAACCTTCAGTTTGACCCCACATCCATTTAAAAGTAGGGTTGCTATGAAAGTGAAAGTCATTTCTAAATGTAAAAAAAAAAGAGATGGTGGATTTTTATTTCTGAAAAAAATGCAATACTTGCATACTGGTAAATTTACTTTTGATCATTGATGTGTTGAAGAAATACAAATTTGGATTTACGGTTTGAATTATTTCCTACAAATGTCACATGACCTGCTGCATCTGCCTGGCATAAAGCAAAAATTAAATATGTTTTCTGGTTTATACTCTCATGAACATTTCCTGTCCATAACTCAATCATTAAATCACATTGATCTGCACTAGGTTCACCACAAAGAGAGATAATTGATATACTTGTAAGAACTCCTGGAAGTTATCTTTGAATTGCTGCCCTTATTATCAACCCAGTGAATACTTGAATACTGGTTCAATTATTTCTTTTTATTTCAAAACTGTACTCTCGCACTCCATTTTTTAAATATATAATTTTAGGGGTTGGACAATTAGGTACTTTTAAATATATTTTTATAACCAGAAGGAAAACGTTAGACAACCCCATCCTGTCACTTCCAGTAGTTACCCCACTACCAGTCTGATTGGTCCAACCCTATAGACAACCCCATTCTGTCACTTCCAGTAGTTACCCCACTACCAGTCAGATTGGTCCGACCCTATAAGACAACCCTATTCTGTCACTTCCAGTAGTTACCCCACTACCAGTCAGATTGGTCCAACCCTATAGACAACCCCATTCTGTCTCTTCCAGTTCTTACGCCAGTGCCATTCTGATTGGTCCAACCCTACAGACAAACCACTTCTGTCTCTAGAGTTACACCCAAATGCCAGTCTGGTTGGTCCAAGTCCAAGTCTATAAGAAACACAGTACCGGAAATGAGATTTGTGAACTATGGGAAAACCCCATAAATCAAAAGTGTAAATTTTATCTGTAGATGTATTTATTTGATCTCCTGGACTAGAAGCGACTTATCTCCCCTACATCAGTCCCTAATATTGACTATGTTGTTGCTTCGTGCACGGCAGACCTACGTCACAAGAGGATGAAAACACAGGGAAAGCTGGGGGTAGGGAGAGGATGGGGGTCAAGTTATTACTTCTGTTGGATTAAAAGTATATTCAGAATATTTATTTAAAAAAAAAAAGCGATTTGACTGAGACATATTTTGATAACGTAGATCTGTTATAAAAAGCTTAAAAACACAGGGAAAGGTGGGGGTAGGGAGAGGATGGGGGTCAAGTTATTATTTCTGTTGGATTAAAAGTATATTCAGAATCTTTATTTAAAAAAAAAAAAAAAGCGATTTGACTGAGACATATTTTGATAACGTAGATCTGTTATAAAAAGCTTGAAAATAAAGGAATGTGGTAAGAGTGAAAGAGATTGTTGAGAGAGGGAGACGATGAGAGAAAGTCAGGGTGAAAGAGATGGTCAAGAGGGAGAGAGAGTAAAGAGATGAAGAGAGAGAGACTAGAAAGAGAAAGTAGATTAGGATGGCCGATACCTATCATTCAGAGGTTAGTTGGGTCAAGTATCTGTGGAATGGGTTTAATGAAGTCTGTAAGTAGGTCACAATACCGCTGGTGGAGTAGGTCAGCTTTAGGCGGAGTCTGTAACTGTGGAGAGAATCACAACACGTGTGTACACTATAGGGGGTATCAATGTACTACAAACGGGAGGAGGGGGGGGTAAATACTACCAAATATCATATATGGGAGGGGGGGGTCAATGTTTTTACACACCAGGAAAGGGGTTTCAATGTTACAACATTCTGCAACCTATCTATACATAAAGTCATAAAGATGAAGAAATTCTAATATTACTATGCAGTACTCCATGGGATAGCCACTGCCGTATTGAACTTATATAAGGCCAACATTTAGTATATACTATGTTAAACACAGGATAACAACTTCTTAGTTATATGGATACAGTGGGACTTAAGATTCACATAATAGGAACGATAGGCATGCATATTATAAAAAAGATATGACTCAACTCTGCAACGGTATTTTTAAATGTGTTACCAGTACCGAGGAAGGTCTAGGAAATGCATAGCCACCCGGGGCTATGACGTCATTTCCAAAGTATTATGGGGTATAACTTGCATGCCCGTAATAGCAACTGACGTCCGCATCAGTAGTGTTGTCATGTACAGACCTATAGTAAGCTTAAGTCAGCTACCCCGCCAAGCTGCTTGCTGTCCGCTCGGAGAAAACATTTCAGCATTTCTTTTATAAATGTGTGATACTCTTTCTTTGTACTGTTTGCAGAAGAAGACATCTTGCCGACACGTTCGTTGTTATTGCGTTCTTCAAGGTTCATGTTTTTCAATACATTGTTTTCGTAGCACTTACTTCTACCTAACCTAATAGCAAGTCAATATTCAACACTACTTGACCACGCCCACCCCCCCCCCTTTTTTTCAAACCAACCCCCCCACCCCAAATCCCATCTCTGACCACGTAGGTCTAATGTCTTGATCCCTGTCTTCCGTCACGGCTATCTGATAACGGCTCCCGTTTCTGGCTTCTCAGGTCACGCAGTGCAGTGGTTCCACAAAGGGATGGATTATCCCCGGGGTTGGGCGAATAACATGCCCAGAGCTCTCTTAAGGGTCTTTCACATTTATGGCAACGTGCCCAGAGCTCTCTTAAGGGCCTTTCACATTTATGGCAACGTGCCCAGAGCTCTCTTAAGGGCCTTTCACATTTATGGCAACGTGCCCAGAGCTCTCTTAAGGGCCTTTCAGATTTATGGCAACGTGCCCAGAGATCTCTTAAGGGCCTTTCACATTGATGGCAACTTGCCCAAAGCTCTCTTAAGGGGCTTTCACATTTATGGCAACGTGCCCAGAGCTCTCTTAAGTGGCTTTCACATTAATGGAAACGTGCCCAGAGCTCTCTTAAGGGGC